AAACTCAAAGGGACTTTAAATTTTAATAACAATTTATAGACTTCCAAAAATGTAGTACTAACGATGATTTTTAAAAGGAAAGCATTCAAATATTGCTCGACAAATGTATTCATTTTTGGTAAGTGGCAAAATATATACTAATTTATTGGAAGTGGCGTTCCCTATAAGTGCATTTTATATAAATATTTATAAATACATATGTCACTTACTGTCTTCGTAGTTGATGTAATAGCACTACGGTCGTTACGGAGATTAATCCATCGTCGGGTGCGTAGACGTAAACTAAACTGAAAGACTGTATTTACATTTTGTTACGAGATTAGTTCATTTAAAAAATGAAATCATTGATTCGTTTTAGAAATGACGATGGAGTATTCTTCGAAACGGCCGTAGGGCTATAGCAAATCAGAACTGCGAAGGCAGTATGTAACCAGTATGTATATTTATAAACTTTGAAATCTGTAACATCATGTTGAAGAAAGAAGCAGATTCGAATAAGAATGTAAAAATATAAGGAATAGAACCGATCACTTACTATACTAAAACTAGTGCACCTGTCGCTCGAATTCGAGGAATTGCAAAGTCTTACGGTCGTTATTTCAAAATGAATAACAGTCATAATTTCCAAATACCGTACTTAAAAGAGTCAACTCAAAGATAATGTAATCAATCTTTCCACTCCAGTTATCGAAACTGAAAACGAACGCTCTTGTGTGTATCATATGTTTACTATAAACGGCTGTAATTAATACAAGTTATTCGTCGGTTTAAGTAAACAAAATCTTTTATAAATAAGAAATTCATTGGGATTTTGAGGGCCTGTGGGGCAAAGCCCGAGGACGTTTATTACTGAAGTTAGTGAAAGGGGGCGTCTACACAAACAATACTTCATTTTTACACATCGTTTGTAAAAATCCGTCCATTATTAACGGAGGAGTAGTGTTTCGTAGAAATCGCCTTCACGTATTATATATAAGGATTACCATATATCCTAGCCACTAGGATAAAGCATCCAATAAAGTACTATGAATTACAAAACTTCCCATAACTAAAATGCCTATGTGGACTATAAAGTTTGTGTAGCCATTTATATATATAAATGATACAATTACGATAAGAGATAAATGATAAAAGGACACCAAACGTATGATGAATAAAATTTCTAATCTTATCAGGGAAGGGAGGACAGTGAATAGTATTTATTTAAGTAAGACCTCCATATAAACTTTACTTCTTGCTATATAATATTTGATTTGAGGACTATTGGAGTGTCCAATCAAAATAAATCATAAGTTATAATGTTTTATATGTATTTATTTACCTTCTTTCTAGTGACAAAGCTTACTCTGAAATGTCATTAGACGTCTCCGTTCATAATATTTCTATTGTTATGTAAAATACAGTTTTAATCATGTATTATTTTACAAAAACTGTTTAAAAAACACTTTAAAACTATTTTGACAGAACCTTACTATTTTTGCTTATTTATTGAAGAAAATATTTTCAACGTCATGTCATACTGTTCAGAACAGTTTAATTTTTAAAGTTTATCCTACTAATTCACGAATAAATTAGGAAAAAATACTGTTCTTTTTCGATACATTCAAGCTTTTTTGTAGTATTGATGCAATAAACATAGCCTTTGTCTTAATATTTTAGATGTATTCATATATGTAAGTTCATACTGGTTCAAGTTATATAGTATATCTTTATGTGCCTTAAAATATATCTGAATTCACTTTCATTATATCAATTCACTATATATTATTTAAATGTCGAGTTTTTGAAGTGTTAAACATTACCGATAGGGATATTAAAACTTTCTGAAATAGCATGAAAGTATTGTAATTCACAATTTTGTTCACATAGCAAATGTTCATGGTGGCTGATTCTATAAGCGAGCAACGGTTCATGCATATTTATTCTTTTTCAAATAACATGGCGAGAAGTTTGAGGATTACAGCCTCATCATCATATTTCAGAAGGGAATTCGAAACTATATTTTTACGAAGTTGGTTTACAAAGTTGTTTTGTCAAAGTTGTTATTAGGTTTTAATTTGGTTTGTTCTGTTAGACTGTTTCGTTCTGTGTTTGTTTTTGTTGCTTTGTAATTTTAAAATATAAATGTTCCCTCTTGATACGCGTTTGAAATGTTTGTATTGTGTATATTTGATTAACTGTTCTAAATTTCTATAAACAGTTTGAAAGTTTAAAACGTTAATTCAATTGTGATGTAGTATTACCTGTTTCATTTGATCGGTACTTAAATACTCGTATTATTCTTCACCTTTAACCCTATATTGACTTCAACATTTTATTGTGCAAAACTAAAAATAATAAACTTTACTTAACCACACATATTACAAGCCAATCGTTATATTATTCTTGAATGACCATTAATTTTACTCTCATTTTTCATTTTCTTGTAATCTGTGGCCTTTTTTTGTGAACCTAACTTTATTTATTTATTTACAAATCATGTTAGCCCATACGTTAAAACGTTTCGTTGCACCTATATTATTATATTGTTGATTATATTGTTCTTTATATATATATATAGAATTGTATTAAAGTTAATTTTTTTAAATAAATACGATGCTTATGTAAAAGACATGACTAAAAGTTCTACTTTTAATATACATTTTCCTCAAGAGATAAAAAATACATCATGAACACTAGAATTGTTCATATAAAAAAGTTAACAACCAAACAATTTAAATTGATATAGTTAAGTTTAAAATTAAAAATATTTGATACTCTCTATGAAAACCCAAATTCTTATTATTTGTGGTTTAAGCAGCACAACAGTTGTAAGAACTATTACACGCAAAATTCGGAAAGCTCTGTCACTTTAATAGGTTATTGTTATGGTGGGTGATTCCGATTCAACCGCTTAACTTGTTTAAATATTCAATAAACTCTGTTTTGAAAGAGCGTTCCTCTCCAAAATACAGATCACGTATAGACTCTCTATAAAAGTTCCACGATATGCGCATATTTTCCATGAGCCAACTTGAAATCTGCTTCATAAAGAGTTAAGGCAGACATATTTTTCAGGAATAAGCAGTTTTCTTTTAGAGCATGGGGAAAATTCAACTCTAAGCTGGTTCAATTTCATATTAGGCTACCGTAGTATTTCGTAAGCTTTCGTCCAATAGGAAAACCAATCATGTTTCATAAAGTTGCTGGCAAATTTGGCCCTGCATGCCTGAGTTTGTATCAGAATAATAATATAAAGACAAGAATGATTAGTAGTTACTTAGTTTAATCTCGCCGGTATTTGAACTCAAGATACTGCTTTTACTGGTTTCCGTTGTCCGTTGTGCTACTTACTGCTCTTAATCTCCTAAGCAAAAATTAATTCAATAATATGAATTTTTAGAGACAGGTACAGAACTACTTTCGAATGAAGTTACTCTTACTTATTTTTTTACGGGGACATGATTATAACCATTACATGTTTTGGTTGAGTTGCAGGCATTTAGTTATATTTAGATCTTTGCGTTTAAGTAAACAGTTAAATCAGAGTTTCTATTGTACTTAGAACTTGATACAATCCAATCATGAAAGTACATTTCTGTTTATCCTAACTGTAGCATTAATTGATTAAATATCAACTAACTAGTACATTATGTCTTGCTTACTATCTGCGAATTATATGGTATAGAAACAATTCAATAAGTTTCACAATCTATATTGATAGTGTCTAAACAGTATCCTGCAGTGTCTAAAAATGTGTAATAATTAATTCCGATGGATGTGTATTCTTGATCTAGTGTGTTTTGCATCAGCATTTGCATGCACTTCTTTGCTCGGCCTTGCACGCGCAACTTTGAACGTCTAAAAAAGATTGCCATGTTTTTTGGAAACATGGAAAACATTTTTTAGTAGATCAACACCCCTCAGTATAATATTATTATAATTTAAATTAAGATTTGATATAATTATAATAGGGTATCAGTAACTAACCAATTATTGCACTTATAATAAAAACTGGCCTCTTCAAGGTTGAAAAAATAACAACAAATTCTATACGCACTGTTATAGATTTACAGGACCACTCAAGAGAACAAAAGCACAAATCAGGAGGACACTCCTTCTTTCAGAGAGCTAAAAAGTAATCAAAAGAGCGAGGCCATGTAAAGAGGTTTTGGTCAAGCAATTCCTATATAAAAACTTTCGTGAATAGTGTTAGGCAATGTTTCTGGGATCATGTTTCAGTATTTACTGGGAAAAATTGTTTGACATGATGGTTGTACATATATATTTGAAAACTTACCGTTTGAATAATTATATATTTTTAAGTGGTTAGCGTTCTCTTTGGCTTTGCGTCTACTTGGGCCTTGAGTCCGTTCATTTAACTTATCAAGCAAAGAAGGGATTTGCCGATACAGTACAAGATTTAAAAGTACAGTCATCAGTAGTAAAAACATCAGTGGTAACTCCGGGACGCAAACCCTACAAAACACAGCAAACCTATGAGACACCAACTCGCCAAAAAATCTTAAAAACAAACATAAACAAAAAATATCCGTCACATTTCTTTTGTTTTATGTTAACATTTTAACTTTATACGAACTACGATGAAACTTATTTGAAACTGAAAAAATATGATTTGATATATGTATTTACACTTACGATGTCATCGTATGTCTGCGGAAATTTTAACTAGGCGTAATATGAGACAATCTCTGAATTTTAGAAGTCGTTTTGTATTAATTCGTACTAATTATGTTATTGGAAACAGACTTGTAATTTTCACTAAACTCCCTTTTAACACAGTTTCAAATAGTTCGAATTTTTAATGGTCTATGCACATGAACTACAACAGTGCGCATTCTGCTACAAATAACCCCCACCCTCACCCAACGGTTCCAGCAAACCCTTCACATCTCACCCCTCTCTACAACGACACAGATATTTGTTTGCTGTTAAATATTTGCTCATTCCGTATACGTTCGCTTTCAGATCCGTTGGTACTAACTGTGTTTTTGTTTTAGGGCTCGTTCAGTCTTGTGAAACTTGCCTACAACGAAGAAGACGACACTCACTACGTAAGTTGAAAATTAGCCTGTATGATTTCTGATTATATCAGTTTCACCTTACATATTTTCTTTTATTAGATGCAACTACAGAGAGAAAAGAAGCTGTATATTATATTTTAATTGGAATAAATACTATGTTTTACCGTATGAAATGTTTCTTAGTGTTATGGACATGTTTTTTTTTTTCATTTTTGTTTTTTTTAGATAATGAAAGAAATGGATATTGATGAATTTATTTTCATTTACAAATTAATTTATTGCGGGTATTATTTTGGAGCAGTACACTAAATGTACAAAATGTATTCTGGCCTGTTCCAGCGGAGAAAATACTTAAAACACTACTTTTTCCAGTCACCGATTTAATTGCCAAAGCCATGCTGTTTAGTCATACTTAATGCAATTGACGAGACTACAAAACCATTATAAATAGCAGTTCAACTAATATCAATAGACTTATATCAATCTATCAGACTAAAAATGAAATAAATCTCGTTAATCATTTATTTTTCAATCTATCAGTATTTTGTCAGCTCTACAAGGGAAACTAAAAGTTCATACGCAAAACATATACATTATTAAACGTGATAAACTCATGTTAACCAGTGTACATGTGCACAAGATGAATAATGCATACTGTCATCCAATAATGAAGTCCGCCTCGGTGAATATTTAGGATCGCTTGCTGGGAATCAAAGCAAGAGACCCACCAGCATGCAGACCAAACTAGCATTCAAATCGTGTTGATATCTTCGCAAATATGTTTTACAAATTACAATAAACGGTATCAGCATTCTGACACATACTTTCTCCCATAAGTTTGTCAACAACCTTTATCATGTGTAAGCGGTGAGAGTAAATATACGGAAATGGGATTTGTACCATTTGGTTCAGAATTTAAAGGACTACATACTAATTTTTTATCAAAATCGTTCGGGCCATTTTTGTGGAAATCCGATTTTTCCGAACTTTTGAACCGTAATTTTTACAGAAATGGGATTTGTACCATTTTGTTCAGAATATAAAAAACTATAACATACCAAATTGTTATCAAAATCGTTCTGGCCGTTTTTGGGAAAATCCTATTTTAGGTTATTTTATGGGGTTTTATGCGAAAATCCTCATTAAAAATATATTTTTTTAATGAAAAAACTATCGGTGTTGCAGTATGGTATCCTGGCTTGGGGCAGTATGGTATCCTGGCTTGGGGTGGTGCCCTTCCTACTGTTCTGGAACCACTTTCTGTCGTTCAACGATCTGTTATCAAAACTATTTTAAATAAAAACTCTAGATTTTCTTCCTTGCAACTGTTTTGCGACTTTCCAGTTTTAAACATTCGACAATTGTTCATAAAAAATCTTCTTATTTTCATAAAAGTTAATAAATGTTCGGTTTTTTCTCCTGTTCAACATCGTTATTTGACTAGAAGTAACATTAACTTCGGCTTTTATTTTCCCAGACTCTCCCATTCAACCCTTAGAACTATACCTTTGTTTGTCATACATTGTATAGAAACTTGCCTTCACATATTCGAGAGGCGGAGAGTGACAGCGTCGCTGTGTTTAAGCGTAGAGTCATGAGCTGGCTTTTAAATATCGGCAGGGAGCAATCAGAAGGATTACTCAAATCATTGTACTCGTAAATTTCTGCAGTTTCATGCGTCACCAAATCACTTTTTTCCCTTCATTGCTAAATACCACTTACAATCACTAAATTTGAGTTTTGGATGTTTCGATGCAATTAGGTTTTTTTTCTCTCTCTTGATCTTGTTAATATTTTTTTATTTACTATCATCATTAAGTGTCTAAGTACTCCTGAATGTTTATGGACCTGTGTATAGCTGTATTAGCAACTCATTCCCAAACACAGACGGATAGTCTACTTGGGAATTATTTTTCCTGTACACACAATTGTTAACAAACATGTAACATTAATTCAGGAATAAAGAGATTTTGATTTGATTGATTTGATTTGATTTGATCAAAACTGTAAGGACTATAACATACTATGTTAAATTAAAACAGGTTTTTTTATCCTTCTTTTTCGTTATTTTATGGGGTTTTTATGGGAAAATAGCATAATTTACCGTAACCTTTAAACCGTAATTTTTACAGAAATGGGATTTGTACCATTTTGTTCAGAATTTCAAGGGCTACAACATACTACATTTTTATCAAAATCGTTTGGGCCTTTTTTGTGGAAATCCGATTTTTCCGTTATTTTAAGGGGTTTTTATGGGAAAATAACATAATTTACAATAACTTTTGAACCGTAATATTTACATAAATGGGATTTGTACCATTTTGTTTAGAATATAAAGGGCTACAACATACTTAATTTTTATCAAAATCGTTCGGGCAATTTTTGAGAAAATTCAATTTTCCGTTATTTTATGGGTTTTATGGGAAAATCCCCATAAAAAATTAAAATTTCAAAAAAAATGAAAAAAACTCCTGGAGATACTATGGATCAGAACCTACATACCAAATTTCATCGAAATCGGACCACAGATGTAGTCTTTAGCTCTGTACACATCCAGACACACCAAGACACAGACATCACTTCGAAAACCACTGTTTTGGGTCCAGGGGGGCCCAAAAAGAATATATCCACTCAAAACTCAAACTCGAAAATTTTGACGAAAACAATACTTTCTCCATATACTATGGTATAGGGGAAGAAAGTAAAATAACTTTAAGAAATCATTTCCGTTTATAAGTTAAGCAATAGTGATTCAGCGATAAACAATTCAGATATTTCTTGGATTCAAGAGTTGCCCTCTTACCGATATGTGTGTCTAACATTTAATATTTCGGGGTGCGTTGCAGAGCAAAGTCCTGACTAACATTTATTACATTGGTTTTCAAAAACAAATTATAGGCCATTCCTTTCAACCCCATCATTTTATTGTACATCCAAAGTGTGAATTTATATATATATATATAAATTCATATATATATTTATATATATATATCTGTAATATATTGATATTAAGTGGAAAATTAAATTAACGGAAATGTAAATTAATAGAACCGTCTTCAAACAAGGAAATTTATTATTTTCGCCAAATTATCAACAATGTATACAGTGGTTGTACATTATTTATTACAGTTTTTATTTTAGTAATCCAAACCATTTTGATTCTGATTTCAGTAATGACAAGCAAGTAATAGAATTGCGAAAAAGGTTTTGACTCTTTCAATAGTAAATAACAAGAGTTAGTGACGCGCAAATTGGCTCGTCCAATGTCCAATGTTTGTGTGCAGTCTGTGTGTCCCACCTGTGCTTTATCGGTCATCCATAATTAACAAGATTGTAATCATCCTGAATCCTGATATCCTGAATGTGGATTAACGATTACCACATATAATGTGCCCTTGTCTCAATATAATTATAATGAAAGAATATCTTGTGAAAATGTTCGTAAGATGCAAAACTGATATTTTACAAGTTCGCAAACTACAAATTGAATGATTTGTAGGGAATGGTTATTAAAATTATAGGGAATGTTTTAAAAATGGGAATAGAAATGAGAAAGGGTTTAATGAGAATTACTTCGAAGGACCAGAGGGTATGAAATGTAGAGAAATGGAAATATTAAATGGAGATTTTTAGAGGGAGAAAAGATGAACACACTTTTGAGATAGGAGAACAAGACACTCTGTTTATTTACATTTTGAATGCAACATATGTTAACAATATAATAATAATAAATAATTTAATATGACAACAAACACATGTTGCTGAGAAGAGAGTTAGTTTTAAGTAAAACAAAGAGGATGAAATAAAATGCTCAAGTTTACTGAACACAAATAATAGTTTTGCTATCCGTCGTCATCATAACTTAACTTTTGGAGAATTCCATCGAATAATATACTATATTTTACTAAACCTTAAAAACCGGATCTTACGGTTAAATTACCTGCGATATTATGTTTTACCTAAACTCTGAAATCCATGCGTAAATGACCAACCAAATTGCAATACTTTTAATGCAAAATTATGGTTTTACTAGTTTATGGACAGATTTTACTAACCATGGCAGTACATATTTCTGAACTAACAGGCTTTAGCGATGCTATACGTTTATCACGTATACTGGAAGACCTGTCATTAATCAATGGCCTGTAAATAATTATATTTAAAAACCTTTCGTAGTTAACTTTAGAAACAAATGTTTGCTTGAAATACCCCTGCCACAGCAAACCTGCCGATCAAGTGAATTTATATTTGTCCGGTGAACTTTTACTTTATAGTGTCAGATTTCCCGGATATCTAAATGACATTAAGCTTACAAGTACTTACGTTCACTGATACATGGAAGGAAAAAAGTAGGTTTTTGTAAAAAAGTTAGTATCTATGAAATAAATAAATTTGCCACATTTTATCAACATATCAACAAACAAGGAAACTACAACAGTTTACTTTGTATCGATAAGAATGGCGTGAGAATTTTAAATGTAGAGTTTTTTATTTAATTTTCTCGATAACCTTTATTTGTACAACAACGCTTCAATATACATTTTTAAGCTATACACGATAGTTTTAATTAAAACTAGGTATTTTCATGTTTTAAGGCTAAAAATTAAAAACAACTTTTGAAAACTTCAAAACCCATAGCACCTTGGTTCCATTACCTGATGTTGCTGGTTAGAATACAATAACCAAGTTTAAGCCATCCCTACTCATTCATGCCAATTTTTATCCAAATCGGACCAAAATTACTCGATTTATCGTGTTCACGGATACACATATTCATACATATATTTAAAGCTTTTAACTAATATTGTTTTGACATCTGGGGGCTTCAAAATGGAAAATAAATCTGTCCTGGTCTTACCACACCACCGGCACTGTTATAGCTTCGTCCCTATATCGTAAGCTTCAGTTCAAAATTGTTTGCTTGCTCCTCACTCTTATAAGTTGAAGCTGTTTTGCTTTAGGCCTACTTTAATCTGCCTGGGTAGAATTTTTATTCAAACTGGTAGATTATTTTGAAAGCTTAGTCGGGC